GCCGTGTGTGCCCACAGCCGTCCCCATGGGAACCAGGGCAGGCAGAGAGGCAGCCCAGCGTGAACCGCCAGCCTGGGACCTGAACTGTCTTCTGCTTGCTGTGGTTCCCTAACCTGTGGGGGACGGCGTGGGCACAGGGCCGGCTGGGGGCACCCTCTGCCCCCGCCTCAGCGGCCTGCAAAGGGCCAAAGCTGCAGGACCTGGGTGGGCAGGTTGCCATGGGAACCAAGCTGCTTGCCTTTTCCCTGGTGTTTGGAGTTCTGGCAGGGAGGCCAGGAGATAGCAGAGCCTTCTCTCGCCGGCTCAGGTTGTGTCCCGGGCCCATCTCGCACCCAGAGACAGTTCACAGCAGCTCAGAGGAGTCGGGAGAGCCAGAAACTCAGGGCCTGGCAAGATCCTGTTTCTTTCCACCTCATTTGAATACGGCCCTCATAGTTGGGGACAGTTACCATCTCAAAGAAGTTGGGGTTCTTGGTTTAGCCCAGGGACAGTAGCCAGAGGCAAGAGTCATCTATAGGAGGTTCCCCGATGTCAATCGCCCGGAGTCAGGACTCTCATCCTGTGCTGCTACATCATTGGTGAAATCTCTTGGCCTCTCTGAGCCTCGTTTCCTCCCTTATAAAATAAGGACCGTTTTCTCTGCTGTGCCCCCAGAAAGCTGAGTCCCTGTGTGGTTCCAACGGCGAATGTACTCGGCTATTGACTAAAAGGTTGGAAGTTCAAATCTGGCCAAAGAGACCTCGGAAGAGAGGCCAGTGATCTGCTCCCAAGAGGTCCCAGAGCGTGGTCCTGCGGGGACAGGAACGCAGCTCTATCCTGACACAGAGGGGGTTCCCTTGAGTCAGAACCCCTTCCTCAACAACTGGGGGGAGGGGGGCTTCGTGCTTCCGTTTGAAACATTTTATTACGTGTCATTCCTCCAAGATATAGTGCAATCTATAAAGCCTGTGCATCCAAAGAAAGTGTTACCGGAGCAGGTCGCAAACATAGTCTGATTCCTGTGAGGTAGGTACATGCCTATCGAAGGGATCGTTGACCAAGTTACAAAGAGCTAGAGATCTCTTGATGCCTGCTTGCCCTCAACAAGCTTTCACGAAGTAGCTCTCTACTTAGCCAGGCACAGTGTCCAGTGCTGCTGTAAGTCATGAAGCCTACTGTTCCCAGACTCCCAGAAGTGTTTTTTGTTGACCTACTGTGTGACGGGCACATAGGAGCCCTGGGGGTGCAGTGTTATGTGTTGGGCTGAGATCCACATGCTCAGCAGTTCAAAACCACCAGCAGCTCCTCAGGAGAAAGACTGCGCTTTCTACTCCTGTAAGCAGTTACCGTCTCAGAAGCTCGCAAGAAGTCAGCCTTGACTCGGTGGCAGGGAGTTGGCTTTGGGTTTTGGTACTGGGACAGGTAGGTTTGTTGTGCCAACATGGCCAATGAACACATGTGGGATTAATTGAAGGGTGGAGAGATATATGACTTGGCGAGCCTCCCCTCTCTCTCTCTTGCTCTTTGATCATTGGACCAGTGTGCGGCTGCCTTGCTTGTTCTGTGCCTCCATTTGCAAGCTACACTACCTGTGGGACACCTAACCCTTGGACTGGGTCACTGTAACTTGAGGTTCCTCCAAGTCCTGCTTCGCCACACCATTGGAATTTACATCTCTTGAGCTGGGGACTGTCGGACCTTGTCATCTGGCTGATTGTTGGTGACCTGCCTTGGGGTTTGCTGCCTGTGGCCGACTGCCTGCAATGCTCTATGGAGGACTACCTGGCCGCCCTCAAGACGTAAAGGACTGCCAGTGAACTAGCTGTCTCATGGAAGTGAGTTGCACTTAGCCATTTGTACTGCTTTATAGATTTATTAACTGTTTATTTCTTATGTTACCTATTGATCTCTATAAATGTATACAAAATCAATAGTGTCCTGGTTTTGTGTCTCTAGAGAACCCTGCCTGATCCAGGTACCTAGCACTGCACCTGGTGCTAGAAACAAGTCAGAATCGACCTGGCCACACTTGCCTCACGGATCATAAAATTAAATTGCTGAGACTTCCATAATACAAGAGCACCTTGCTCAGCTAAACGGTCATTTCATGATATCTACCTTCCCGACATGATTGCTGAAGACAGATGTGTGCAAAAGAAAATGTGGTGAAGAAAGCTGATGGTGCCTGGCTATCAAAAGATATAGC